ACTTGGTTTGCGATGAGCCATCCGTATAAATGAGCCATCGGTCATACTGCAGCGGATCTCTTGCAGGAATCATCGCTTGAGAGACAAACTCAGGCAAGTCAACTGCTGTGAAATCTTGGCATAAAACGTCAGTTCCAGCAACAGTCAGGGCTTTGAGGTCCGCAATGTCGAAAGGCATATGTAATGTGCAAGCATCAGGCATCAGTGGCGCCTCAGGAAATACAAACAGCGGCTTTCTGGACGTTGAAGTCGATTGCCGCAGCGGCCAGTGCGTACGCTGACGAATCGGTCGCTCATACGACTGAATCTGCGGTGAGCACTGCATGAAGCCAATTCTGTGAAATCCAGAAGACAAACGTTCTTGACGACTAATGACTGCTCGATCATATCCAAGCTGACATAGAACCATCATGATGTCGTGCTGCGCAAGGAGTTGATCACTGGAATAAAGGATCGCACCCTCAGTGTCGGTGATGTCATCATGACAGAACATATAATGATGCTTGTCCTCAGAAATCTGGTGTACTTGAGGAATCACCAGGTATTCTGTTCTCCTGCCAAAACGATGAACATCACCATGTATGCCCCATGCTCGAAGTTCAGTTTGAACACCATCTTCATCTGAATCTCGAGGAATTTCAATGAACGTCGGCATTGGGATCTCATGGTCAATCGGCATGAGTTTCACAGCTTCTGTGTCAGGGATCAACTCATCAAGAACCAGACGTGTCTTGATCTGCACCAGATTGATCTCCTCGGCATCATTGTCTTCTGGCCAAGGATCTATTGGGCCTGTTGCGGGCACAGGGTTGATCACAACTTCGATGGACATGCCGTTGAGAATCTGCCATTGTTGTTGGTCATGTAACTGTCGATCACCGTGCCAGATCATGCACTGCGTCTCCAGAATCTGCGGAAAACAGTGCATCTCAAGCTGGGCAATCATGATGATGTCATTCTTACTGGCCAAGTGAGGCATGAAAGTCGCCATGTGCTCTAGAGGTCTGCCCCTGTTACTGGGCTTGACAGCAGTCACCAAAGTCGCTCGTCCTTCGGCCGGGTGCCTCTGGACCAAGATGAGATGAGGCTCATCCCGTGGCTGAAAAATTTCAGCTGGCGGAGTTGGTGCAACCAGGTACATGTCAATGGGGATGTCATGCTCAATGATCTCGGCCCATGTGTTGACAAGCTCACGATGCCACAAGTGGAAGTCACCTTCCAGTACAGTGATGCGGGAGCTACGGCACTGCGGTCGAAGTGGTGTGCTCAAGAACCATGTGTGAACACGCAATTGTGGGTGTTCATGGCCTGGCTGCACAGTACCTTGCAATTGCCACAGGAGATGCAGTGCTTGAATGAACGCAGGCTGCTGGTTCAAGAGCAACTGGACACCTTGTCGCTCATGTTGTTGTGCTGCTGCTGCAGCTGCGTACAAAGGTCTCATATCATGAAACAACCTGCATGTCATAGCTGGTGCTGACTCTTTCACCTCATTGAGGGCAACATGACCTTGTAAAAGAGCAACTTCTTCATGTAAATCAAAATCATAATTGGTTGGTACAGTTTGTACACCTTCATCATCAGGTTGATGCCATCCCAACCGGATCAGCAAATCCTGAGAAAAGATGTCTTCAATTGATAGTCCACAAAACCGCGCACTGGCAATCCGTCTGGTCTGAAGATGTCGGAGACATTCTGCTGGATGTGGTGGGACAGCTATGCGCACATAATCACCGTTTGCAGTATGAATCCATGTGCTTCCATGTTGACGACATACTTCATGATTGTGCCAAATGAGTGCGGTTTCATATACATCCTGAACAAATGCGGACAAGCCAAGACCTTGAAGCAGATCACGTCGTTGCAATCTTGGTGGCAATTGACAAATGCGACGTACTACCTCAGGAGTGCGACTAGGAAGATGATTGTGAAACTCCACATCTACCAGCGTTGCACATCTATTGGCTCCATCTGGGATGTCTCCATGCTGAAACGCCAGTAAGACTTCCACCTGAATCCGACGGAGATCTTCAGGGCGCCAGTGCACTTGCTCAAGATGGAGTAGGCGATCAATCGGAATTTCAAGGGCTTCCGCAACTTGCCGATGAGCTTCCTCATAGTCACCCCAGTCAAGCCGGACTGGAATGGGATCGCGATTAAACGAATAGATCAGAGTAGGATGCCAATCTGACTGCTGTGACATCTGCTCTGAATGTTCATCTTCATCACTGCTAACATCATGTGCCTCCTGTACTTGAAGTCCATGTATGATATCAGTGTTTTCAACAATTGGTGTCGGCAGAGGATCAGCTATATGAGGTGGAACATGCTGTCCATGCGACATGAATGATACTTGATCACTATCTGGTTCAAATGGAACTGGTAGTCCTCTTTTGACTGGAACATCCAAAACTGTGAACCATTTGCCCATAGCCAAATCATCTTCATGGCCAACAAAGAGTTCGACACGTTGAGCAAAACGAACATGGTTCGAGCAAGGCTGCGGTCTCCCTCTCCTCAGAGGATTGTTTGAGCTGTTGCATGACAATACACCCATCTCCCATGCCAGATCAAGTCCTCTGATAGATGCCTCCCACGTCGTGAGAAATTTGCGCTCATCGAGGATAGAGTGGTTCCAAATTTGGTCATGGATTTGAAAACACTCCTGACCGTTCGGCCTGCAGCAAGCCTCCGAAAAGTCTACTTGCCCGGCCCGCCAAAAGGCTCCAATGCAGCACGCCCAAGTGAGCCAACCCCATTGTGCTCCGTGCGTGGTCTTTTGGACGATTGGCCTTCGGTCGCTTCTGACGGCACCTTGATGCTCTCCAGAGACGTCACCATGCCCTCGATGCCAGATTTGATGACATCTGCAGCCTCGATCTTGTCCGTGTCGTCCTCCATGTCCGTGATCTCGAGGATATCTTCGTCCTCCTTGGTGAGCTGCTCCTTGGTCGCATCCACCCTTTCGCGAGCAGCTTGAAGCTCTTCTTTCATTTTTGTCACTTTGGCATCCAGATCTGCATCTCGTTCTGCAAAATCCTTTGCAAAACCTTTCCACCTTTCTATGCTCTGCTCGATATATGCTGTCCACTTGCTGTGGAGATTCTGACGTGCACGTTGTGCTTTCTGGTAGGCCTCCCTTGCCTTCTCCAGTTTCGCAACTGCACTTTGCATATTCTTGGGCGCAACCGCTTTGCTCAACGCAGAATCCGCAATGATCTGCTGAGCACTGGATGTCAATGTGTTGCCAGGCTTTTTGAGCTCCATGACCAACTCCTGGAACTTGTCGGTCGATCCAACACTGGGCAGCGGCAAAGTGTCGCCATCCCCATTGTTGGAGATCCAGGGTGGATCTGGCTCTGTTGATGCATTCTCCTTGGTCTTGTTCTTTCTGCTCTTTGGCGTGGCTCCTCTTTTTGGCTTTGGCGACTTGCGAGATCTCGGAGATGCTTGTACTCTCCGAGTTTGATCGCCATCTTCTCCATCCCAGTCTTCTGCTTGATCCCAATGTGCATACCCTCGGGATCTGGAAGGACCACGTGGATGTCCACCTTGATGACGATAAGTGGTGTCCTGACAACGTTGCCAGACAATGTCGCAAGTGCCACATCTGAGTGCGTTGTGCTTGTTCAATCTCCAGCAGTACGCACATCTCCAAGGATCTCTGTTCTTCGATGTCATTGCTACTCTCAAATGGGCAATGAAAGAACTGTCTCTGGAATGATGCCTTCCAAGAGTATTGCAAATCTGTAGAAGCTGGCGAGGCCGAAGGAGAGCAAGACCAGATTTGTGGCAATACCAACGAAACCTTGCGGCCGCTCAAACGCCTGAACCTCCTCCTTTGTGATGGGGTAATTGCACTCGATCAGAAGGATCAGAAAGAGAAATTCAATGATGTAGCTGCCCATACACCAGTGACCAAGCAACCCAACCTCGAAGAAGGCGGTGACGATGCCAACCAGTGATAGGAGCTTTCTGCACCCGGGAAATTGATACAGGGCCGGGACCCCAGCGCACAATGCTAAGCCAAGGGAACTTTGCCAGCAGGGCGAAGTAAAGCACGTGATGAAAGGCAGCTGCAATGGCTACCCGCGGGCAAGACAATGGAAAACCGCGATGCCCGCTAAGGTTCTCTGCTGGTTATGGGGGGGAAGTGCTTCCCACAACTCAACAGCGGAGCCAGAACCTTGAAAATGCAATATATATATATAGATGCATACATATCTGTGTGTGTTTTTGGTGATAATGATGCCTATGTGATGGGAATGATCACGGGTTTGACCCACAACTATAGGGATTCGGTTGATAGAGATTTGGATAACAGTTGAGACTTCAGTACTGGTATACTCCACGAGGGCCGGGAATACCCCAACCTTGCTTTAAATAGTTTGAAAATGATGAGAACCGTTGGATTTTGGAGTACCCAGTTTTCAGACACACCTATGTGAGTAGCTGAAATGCACGGTGGTTTCACCAGATTTGCTCCGGCATGCAATTACCACCATTCAGATGTTTACACCATTGAGATTTCATTACGAGCGTAGAGAGATTCAATGACCACATAGGTTAGATATGAGGTTTGGGTATGAGGAAACGACTCGATGATGGTCAATGTGGAGTTATCAGATGATTTCATGGATCATTTTCTGGTTTGGGTAGGCCAACTAGCTTCGAGCATTCGGAGCCACAACAATGGTAGACAATGCTGTAACAAATTGAGATGATGTGGGCATGAATCAAGATCAAAACCTCGAGGCCCACAAATGTCCGTGATTGTACCATTTTTTGACCCGCACCTAGTCATCATGCAATATCAATCATATTATTTATATATTATGCATACATTATATTATTTTATGTTTTTATTATTTTATTGTTATGTTATTTTATATTATGTTATATTATATTTTATTACAGATTACATACACAATGGATCTTTGGGCACTTCTCAAATTGTCAATGTCCATGGGACATTGGTGAAGTTTGCTTTAGAAGCTGAGGCTGGTGTCTTCGCCACTTCCCAGGTGCCACTCCGAACAAGCGACTTTGGGTAGACTGCTTGTTGTTGGGCTGAAATAGAGTTCCAGTAGGCCTAGATTGTGACGTCCAAGTTTGGTCTGGAAGTTATATTTATATGCGATTTTCATGATACTCGGGGTAGATTTGGGGCACATACCGTTCCAGAAATCGCAACGTTTTGATGTCGACCACAGAAAGGCCACAGCGATCCTCCTTGTAGTCCTGGGTATACACATGTATACACTCTAGATGAAAGCCCCAGTGATATCTGTCTGACACATAAGTTGCACCGTGGCTTCAGGCTTGCAAGGACGGAGACAGAGGCCTACTACACTGGTGAATCTCTGCCCATCCACCGCGTTGCACTACGGCCGAAAAAATCACTGTCGCGGAGTGCTGCTGCCTGGGTGCCTCAAACTTATCATGTAGAATTTAGTGCCTGGATATACTCGATATATATCCATGATCCACGTTTTGGGGTCCAAGACTTCCGGGTTCCGGACCTCTGGAAATCCAGAAATCAAGCCAAAGCCCAAATGTTTGTTCTTTGAAAGACATTTGTTGAAAACCATGGCTAAGCGTGTTGTATCCCATTTTGGTTCGAAGATTCTCCCGTTTTCAATAGAACATCATGAAACGGCATTAAATAATTCATCCTTTTTGCCCTAGCTCCATGCGGCCCGAACGATGAACGGAACATACTGAAATCATAATATAAGACATGGTATAAGGCCCAGGTATGTACAATTTCTATACAATATGCTATAGATACAAAAAAAATAGTCTATGATAAAGCTATTCCATCAGTTGTGTCCCCTGACGCCAGGCAGCAGCCCTCAACATCTCGCCCCATGACATCTTGCCGGAGGAGCTGACCACGCTTCAAGCCTACCAGGTCCAGATCTACGCACCCGGATTGGAGGGTAAAGCACTCCTAAGATGTGGCCAGATTGATATGTTCAATGGAGGTTTCCTGAAATGGGGGTACCCCCGAATCATCCATTTTAATAAGTTTCTCCATATAATCCATCCAGCTATGGGGGTACCCCCATTTATCGAAACCACCATATACCGAATTTTCAGTCACATGACCCACCGGCTCATTTTGCAGGTGGCATTGATCACCGTTGAAGAGGAGCGACTTGTGAAGCTGCGCAGCAACCTCAGCTGGGTTGGAGGATGTTTGCAGGGCCATCTAAGGTTTGATATGCTGTCATGGAGAAATGCAGCTGGCACGACGCATTCCTTCCAATAATGTGTTTCGCTACATGTCTGGGGATTTTTTTTTGGTGGGACCTTGCCTTAGAATTCATGGTGATCAGTACTGAACTAGAGTGGCATGTTCAGCGAGGAAGCTGTAGCATTTGGCAGCCTAGTGCAAGACCCCACCAGACACAACCTTCTGCCCTATCCAAGTCTATCCAACATCCTGAGGCCAGAATAGGGTGGCTGACATGAAGACGCGAAAAATGCCGCTTGAATCACACCAGTTTTGGGGGGGAGATCATTCATCCATCGTCCAGCATCCATTCATCCGTCCTCCACCAATTCTTTGAGCCAGAGAAACGGTGGTTTTCCACTTCAACAGCTCTTCAATCCATTCATCCAGCGCTTTGCTCCTCGTGTTTCCTGGTTGGTTATGGATCAAAAAAGAGCCGGGGACCCATAGACTAGAGACGGCAGCAATGGCACAGGCAATTTGCGGGTCAAATTCATGTTGATTTGCAGTCTCGATTGCTACCTCAGACTAGGGGATGAACATCCATTGGGTGACAGGAAGTACATCCTATATTATATATATATAGATAATTATGTATAACTATATATATATGTACACTTTTATAACTGACAAAATTGTCGGAAGACAACAGTAATAGGAAGTGGACATGGAATGTTGAAAGTTGCGCACATTGGGGACCACCAACTTTAGCCATATTCTTTTGGAGTAGAAGGAAATTCTGTCTGCCATTCATAATATATAGATACATACAAGTATATATATATAGGTATATATATATATATTTATATATTTACATATACTACATAATATGTATGTATGTGTATATATATATCCAGATATCTACATAAGGTCACTTATGGGACAGCTTTGTGGGCCCTGTGGTGGTGCCCTCGAAACGGAGCCCTCGTGGGTCCAGGTCGATGCTCGTTGAAGATGACTATACCGAAGTCGCGCGAGTACGTGGCGAGCTCAGTGGAGACTGACCAGGAGATCGATGTGTTTATCCAACGGATCCATGGTCCATGGCTATCCAACTTGTTATCCACACAATTTGTTATCCAAAGGTCTAAATCTACTAGGATCTGCCATGCTTAACCATGTTTTAATCCAACTGTTGTGGAAGTTGCTGGGACTCAAAGTGCCATTGATGTTTTTCGCTCGTTTCTTGCAACCTTTGGGTGTCCGCACGTCGTTTTAGGTCAAGATCTTCAGCTAACGTCCGACTCTGAGATCAAGGTGTCAGGTGGGCCAAGATGATGGATAAGTGATCCAAAACATACCTCAATAGCTGGATGGATTATTTCATGGAAAATCCGACAATAAAATGGATCATAACTCGGGAGATGAGATACCCCTATTTTAGGAAACCCCCACGTCAGAGCTGGTTGGTGGTTCCACATGACACTGGATTGGTTTCCACCCCTACTTGAGATGATGATCGCCAATAAATCCCAAGAAAAGATTTTCAGAAAGCTGGCTCAACCGAGCAGAAAAACCGTGATCTCGTTTCAGTCCTTGCCTCCAGTGGTCACAAGTGGTGTGGAGTTCTTCTATCATAGAGGGAGCAGCAGTATGAGGAGTTTATGTATATCCATGATGAAGAATCCTTGATCAGATCTGACCATAATACATCCGGTTTTGTTTGGATTTCCTTGATGATCATGATCATGATATATAGATGATCATGATCATGGTCATGATAGATGATGAGTCCGACAAGTTGGTGCATTCAAAATGTTCCCAGAACATGGTGTTTGCCATTTGGCATAATGATGTAACCTTCAAGCACTTAATTGGCATGCGCTATGATTGATATTAGCTGTGGTACCATATTAGTCGGATTTTGTCCGTTAGATGCTCCTCTTTGCTGGTTACATTACATACCCCCTGTTGGATATACCACCCCCTTTGGTTGGTCAGAGCCCCAACCTAAGACAACCACAAAGGAAGGAGCTGAACCAGTTGAATCCGCACTGGCCAGAAGCCGTCGACATGACGTGCGCTAGCTGCGCAGTCAATGTGTCAGGTGGAAAGCCGAGAGTTTGAAATTGGTAGATTTTTGGGGCACCTGGCAGTTTCATGAGATCTGTTGGATATTTTTGGATTATATCATATTGTATCAAGTATTTTTTTAGATATAGAATGATATAAATGATATAAACTAAACTATTTATGCTTGAATAGTTGTTCACTCTAAGTCTAGATTTCATATCCAAGGATACTCGATGATATTTGGAGACTTCCCTTCAGCCAGTCCGCCTGTTTTTTCAACAGGTACTTGTCCCCAGAAGAGTGTGCTTCTCTTCTCATTCGCCAGGCATGGCAAGTTGGGGAAATTGATGTTACCATTGGATCACTGGGGGTACCCTATTGACAAACCCAAGGAACCCACGGCAATCAACAGGCTTCGGGCACAAAGCTCCAGTTGTGCATCCCCTGAGGTCGTCCGTATAGTGATTTGCCGTCCCTGTGTGACTAAAAGGGAAGGAATTCACCAGGATGGGTAATGCCAGAATCACATAAAACATTGTGTACTTCCCACAGGAGGCATAGATTTTACCCTGGACCTTTCTGCCCACTGCAGGTGAAGGAAGGAAAGAAAGCTGCAGCACTGCGGCTTCCAAGAACCAAGTGACAAACGCTTTGAGCGCAAATTGTGCTGGATAGATTTGTGATGATCTGTGATGATCTGTGACTTGCTTCGTAAGAAATGGCAAGAAACTGATTTTGTGATCCCCGAAGATCGACAGGATGCATCCTGATCGAGGGTGCCTTCAAAAAGGCAGCTGATAGCAGGATGATCCCAGGATCAGGGAGAGTTTTGGGTCGATCGACCTTCCCGGGGTCGTTTCATCGGACCCCATGTAGAACTTTGTAGGCTAGGCACGATTGAAGTAGTAGGTACTTTCCGAATTCAAACGTCTCCAGTCAGCCTTGGAATGCGTGGGAGGCTCACAGGTGCGGCCTCGGCATGGGCCCTTATTGGTAGAGAAGTATTTGATGATGTTGGGTTTTTGTGAATCTTCACAACACTCCTAGGACAATCTGGAGCGTGTGAGGTATGTATAAACAGGACGACCTCACTCGAACTGCAGGCACCTGCAACTTAAATCGTATCATGCAACTCAGTTTAGTTGCATGATCAGACCCAAAGCGGCGCTTGTACAGAAATCCGAAAAAAAACAGCTTTTGATATGGCCAGAACTCCTTGCGTTCACTGCATTACGTTGGTGTCGTGCAATTGTGCAGATCCCAGTCATCTACTTTCAGGAGACCGAAGAACCCGGCTTTTGCTGTACCTAATGGGATTGAACCAAGAAAAATAATACAGGATGCTTTCGAGTGGAAACTTGGACATCGCCATTTGTGGTATCCAACAGAATTTGGCGCATCACGGGTTTCTGAGTACGTTGTTTGCCATGTTCCAGGGATGATTGGGTGCGACGTGACATTTTGGGATTGATAGCTCAACAAACTTAACCAAGAACCATTTGAAACTGATCGCAAAGATAATTAGAGACTAGCATTAAACAATTGTAGAAGATATGTTCCCCAGTAGTTTAAGGGAGATTGAAGATATCCTCCTAATTCTAAGAAGACATTCCCCCCAATGATTTAACAACAATCATCAGTCTCCTCCAATACTGTATCATAAAGATTCTACAGCCGGTGCAATATTAACGATAGTTCCACAATAAATCAGTGGGAAATTCAGGATCCTAAAATGGAGGTACTATACCGTATAAGGCAATATTTTGTGGAGATATTTCCGTGCATAACCCTTGCATAGACAATTTGGGTACATTTTTTTCGGAATAATTGCCATTGATAACAATGATTAATAATGTGTATACTGTATATACTGTATATATATTATATTGGATTATACATATATATATATATGATATATATATATATATATGTATGTATTATATATGTGTATATATATATATGTATATATATATTATTTGAATGTGGTAAACCAAATGTCATAAACTATCCCCGTTCCATCAGGCGCCTGGTCAGGTCAACGAGCTGGACCACTGGGGCGCCAGCGCCCTCCACCACAGCGCACGGCAGGGCCACGAGGCAGCGAACTCGATGTGAAATAATGGTTTCATGGAATTGGGAGGATTGTTAACTTAATTTAAATCCCTTCGACCTAAAAGGGAAATACCCGGAGAAACCATGGTTTAATCAGTGATTAATATATATTCAGAACCATTAGGGAGATGGGATGAATTAGCCATCAAAATTGGTTTGTTAAGCAAGGCAAATGGAGATGAGATGGATTTACTGGAACTGAGCTGGTGGTTTGACCATAGACCATCTCAACTCACCAGAAATAGGTTCGATTCCAACCATTCCCAATTGGAGGTTTATGGCATTGCGTTTGCCACATGTAGGGATACAAGAACACCTACACCAACGTGAGATTTTGACATACAGGCCGTTGGGGATGGATGTGGTGGAAGACCAAACACCCCATAGAATTTTCTGTAGATGTGCACATCCCCAAATATTTTCTTCAGGGTTGGTTATGTTCTTTTTCAGGATGTAGAATGGAGGCTACCAGGGCCCAATGACTCATATTGATGGAGGACCCCACAGTTCATCCACATTTTTGTCGTTTCCCAGGCAGTTTTAAAGCTTCTGGTTCACCATCAGGTCGGGGCACTCAGATATTCCCCATGGTGTTTGCTTGGTGGTTCCAAAAATGCCAGAAGAAATGGCGCTGTTTCCGCATGTTCAAAAACACTGGGATACAAGGCAAGCCACGCTAGTGTTGCAACTCGTTGGTTGTTTCATGAACTTGGTTTTTCCGCGAATTAGGGGCATAGGATTATCAATGTCTCATCAAAAATCCCCATCAAACATGATTAAAGATTAAAACTCCAAAAAAGTTCTTGTTCCCAGTGGGGTTCATTTCACTAAAGACCACCGAACGTGCATCTTCCGCACACATGAAATTCGGACTCCGCAAGGCCGACATCAGCGCTATGTGTCCCTGGCTGATTTTGGGACTTTTAGAGATACATCGGAAATCAAAGGCCTATTTCTTGGGGGCCAAGAATGAATCCACCAGTTTGTGGACTAAGCAACGGAAAAACGGGTTCGCAGTGATGTTGGTCAAATTAATATTCAGGCATCCAACGTTTGGAGCACGTCGTCACCTCCATGTTGGGTCCCAATTTCCCCATTTAGTCGTTTTTTTTTAGAAATCCCATGGAATCCTTGATTTTCTTCCTACAATTACCATCCCAAGTTTAGGGTCTCTCAAACAGCACCTTGCCATGGCTGCCAGGACCAGCCGGATGCAGACACCTGCGGATTTGGCCAGAAAACATGGCGAGGGGGCCCTGAAGCATTGCGATGTCAGCTGGCAGTTGACACTCGATCTCTGACCATATAAACAATTGGTATCACGGAATTTGGTCAAACATTATATTTTTGATTGCGACTTGCGATCTTTACTTCAACAGAAATTGGATGATCTTTGTTGAGTTTCACGGATCATTGGTTCTGGTTCTGTAGCTGTGGAGTGAGCAAGCGTGCAACGGAGAAGCTGTCTCTATTCTCAATTCAACAAACGTGTGTTGCTTTAGGCCATCCCTCTCTGGCAGCCATTTTGGAGCAGGAAGTCCTGCAGCATGCGGAGGCGAGGATCGCAAGGGTCCCGAGAGCCATGGAAGAGATGGATGATTTGGGGGGATCTGGGGGTACCCCCATTTTAGGAAAGCGCTATATCTCCATCAAGTTCAATATATCAAGCTCATTCAAGCTCCATAGGCCATAGGTATAATAAATGCTGGTGATAAAATAGGATATAGTGAATGGATCATGAGATGTACTGCATACTTGCATTATTTACCAACTTGATAATATATAGATAAAATTGGTATTTGATAATAGATATGAAACTGACTAGTTAACTGATGTAAACTGATGGGGAATATATATATATATATCATTATATATATATATATTTTGATATAGTTAGTGGGGATGTATCCTAGGATATATACCATTGTATACCAACAATGTTCCTAAGTCACAACGTCGCGGCGTTTTGATGGGAATACCCTCCTGTAAACCTTTACATAGATGTTGAAGACCCGCAATTAATTTATATATATATATATCTAATGATATAGTGGCGATATATAATGTATATATATATATACATACACTGCATAGACCAACCATAGCTGATGATATTTGGTGTTGATTGAATTTCTATAGGGAAGATCCCTAAATCCAGCAGACCATCATCATTTTCCGGGTAGAATTTGCCAGCATATTTTGGTATACCGGTATACCCGCATACCCCCCAATTTTTAGACACACCCGTTTGATCAGACCAAAAGAGCTCACTGTCTGAATTTAAGGCTTGATTTGACATGTTTTTCCAATTTCCCGTTTCCCGTCCTTGATTTCGGGGAAGGCTTCATGGTTGGCATGTCATCCGATGGACCAAAGTCTGAACTAGCTATAAGTGTATCGAACCCACCTATCATTGCGCCTGTCCATGATTGGGGTAAAATATAGCCACGGGGTGTCACGGGTCATGTGGATGGAAACAATTTGTTGGGACCTTCCACGCCGTGGTGCTACAGGTCCCCACGGGACTTGATGAGAAGGTCTTATTGTTTGCCCCATTCAGATGGCAGCTGAATCCCGATAGTTGGTCTTGCATTCAACGCTTCTACTGTACAGCAGTTCATAAGAAGTCATACGCGCATCTATACATGACTATATATGAACAATGGATTCTGCTTGGGGAAGAGATGCAATGCAAAAAGATGACGGTATTCACAGCGGCTGATTGATATAAGCAGCCTTTGATCATCAGGTCAGCAAGAAGCAGAAGAAGGGAGCGTGTTGGACCTGGTTCACAAGCTTTGGCGCCGTTGCTGTGGTGCTGTTTGCCAGCAGGGGGCCCCAGGAAGTTTCAAGGTTGCTGAGTAGAAACTTCATGAAGCTCTCATGCAATTGAGTTGATGACATATACCCCATGCAGCTACCCCGCGCAGTCATTTTGCGGAAATTTAGGTAGATTCATACATTGTAATTCAGAAACCGTGTTTTAAAGCAGAAAAAAAGAAAATTGAAAGTTCACAATATTTCACATGTCATGATATTATGTGATGTTTTGAAGGGGCCATATGTAGTGTTCTCATCATTATTCAATGTTGATGAAGTGGATAATACAATGATACAAGAAAAATAAAATATCAAATATATGCAGATATATGGGTATTGATTTAAAGATCCGCGTAAAGAATGCGGATTATGATGCTCGGTTATGTACATATATATATATATACGTTTTCTATGTCAATCTATCCCCCCAAAATGTTTCTTTTCGAGTTCGCAAAAGTAAGATTGTTTCTGGCGAAATACCTTCAAGACGTGTATATCAAGAATGATATCATTGGATATACCCTTGATATCCCTTGATCGTGTAATTGAGTAGTTTGCTAAATTACCGAACTTATAATGGACCATCTAGATTATTTTCTATAGCTTATCTCTAAGGTCAAAACACCAGGAGAGGAGGCCAAATTCCTAGATGTTACCCATGGAAAGATATAGAAAGACACACATTATTTTTTGATTTTGATCATAAACCCATATATATATAGATATAGATAGATGAGATAAGTCAAGACAAGATAAGATTGTTAGTTAGAGATAAATAGAACTAAACAGAAATCGATAGAGATAGATATAGATATATAATGATCTGGTATAGATATAGATATAAATATATATATATATACATATATATATAATTAATATTAATTATTACGGTAAGATTAGGACTGCGTTCGCGCGCGATTCGGCTGCTCCGAAAATCCCAAAATTGTAATTATTTTGAATTTTTGGCCGAATACATGTTTAGTCTGCACAAAAATGTAGCAAATATGTTTTATGTCGACCTTTTTAGGACTTCCCTAATCGCATCGAAATAATTCGATTATTTTGAAATTTATCGTTTTTCGAAATTCCAAAATAAGTCGATTTTTGTAATATGTTTATTTTGCGGTCCCAGTCCTGGTCCCGCATCGTAATCCCATGAGGGTTTATCGATTCTCCCCTGGTTATCCTTGGTTCGTTTCCCCCTTAGGTTCGTACCGACACCTGCGAGGTATTATTGCCTTGCTAACCTAGCTTTCGTGCTGTGTTTTCTAAAACGCAAGCCCGCTTATTACACCCGCCTTCTATCGCATATATGGCGCTTATTTTATTACGTTGCGCGTTTTTCCTTAATTTCTTAAATTATTATTTAAAAAAAAATGTTTAATTTTTAAAAATATAAATTCATTATATATATTAGAAATTGGAATTTGGAAATAATATAAAATAATTCTATAATTAAAGAATATATTTGGAAAAAACAATAAATTTGAATTAAAAATTTGAATAAATAAATTGTTAAATATTTGAAAATTATTATTGCTTAAAAATTATATTAAATATATATATATAATAATATATGTATAATA